GTATGTACCCAATCTGACTGATGCAACTATTGACTGGTAACGGGATCCCTTGGAGATTCTTAATCTGGTATCACACGATAAATCATACGTGGAAGATTTCTCCCGCACCTAAGCATCTTACAATACTTCTCGATGAATGAAAATCGAATTCATTGGGGAAACGGACGAGAATGGATACAAATTGAGGATCATATGATTTTCACCCAAAACCTGCAAAGCTGAGCACATCAGCATAACAGCGATTTAAGGCTTTCGCTCTACATGAAGGATGCCCATCAGATCACATTCCAGTTCTCAGATCCCTTGTATATAACGTTGAAGTCCATGCAATAATGATAGAATTGGGCAATATCGGAATTGCTGCGGTACACCGGCTATGTATGAAAATCCACAACCAACGGAATAATAAAATGGCTTCCTTGGGATAAATTTCCGACGGCTCTACCCCTTCCACTTTTCTCGACGTTGAAATGGAGGATTGACGTAGTATTGGATTGTAATCTTTCCGAAGTACTGTAAGCAAGATTCGATTAGAAATAACAGGAGCCCTTGAACCGAAGTTTATATCACGTGATTGATATCAAGTGACCTTGGCATCAGTGGCTCGGCAGGTATAAATAAGCAAAATCTATAGCAGCCTGAGGCAAAGTCCGAAATACGGATTCACATCGGATCGCCTTACCCTTGAAAGGGCTGCATCATCCAGCATCTGGCGGGGCAATCATAAGCCTGGAACCACCAAAAGAGTAATAGAAATCACATCAAGACACCAGGATTGATCAATATTTCTTCATATTACTCTCGCAAGAAAATCTTTTCCATAATCAATCACATCATCTAATATTGATAAATCCCCGATCCCTTCATCGGCTCGTTCCTTTCAATAGTTGAGGGTCGGTCCATCACAACGGTAATTAACTCAGTAAGCCGAATAACTAGCACACACCAGTCAATATGGGTAAAAAGCAAGCTGCTGGAGAGAATAGCAGAAAGGCGGCAGGAAATGCCAAGAAAGCTGAAGTTGCTGCGTCGAAAGCGGCAGCTGAGAAAAATATAAAGGATCAAGCAGAGTCAGAAGAATGGTCCAAGGGAGCAAAGAGCAATGCAAAGGCGTGAGTCCGAATGGTTGATTTCAGCTTTTGCTACCCCGCATATCACCCGACCAATTTGCTAACGTAGTATCGAACAACAGTGAAGCTGCAGCACTCAAACAAGCCGAGTTAAATCGGAAGAAAGCAGAGAAGGAAGCATTGTTGAAGGCTGAGGAAGCTGCTGCTCCCTCTGGTCCGAAGAACTCGAAGAAAGCCGAAAAGAAGCCTGCCGTCAAAAGAGGTCTCGACCTATCACAACTTGACGACTCCCCTACTAGTGCTAGTCCGTCGTCAGCTACTCCATCATCAGCTCTCAATGCTTCCAACATTGATGATGCGTTGGATGCGCTGGCCTTGACATCAAATACGAAGGAAAAGGTTGATAGGCATCCAGAAAGGAGATTCAAGGCTGCTTATGCAGAGTTCGAAGAGAGGAGGTTGCAAGAAATGGGTAACGATGGTAGTGGAAACGGGCTGAGAAAGAACCAAAAACAGGAGAGAATCAGGAAAGAGTTCGAAAAGAGTCCTTTGAATCCTTATAACCAGATCACTGGAAGATATGATTCAACCAAGGGTGAGTTAGCAGAGATTTTGCAAAATGTACAAGCTGGCGTAGAGTCAAGGTTGGCAGACAACTAGATCACTATAAGCTGTGTGTTTGCTAGTGTGCGCGGCGATTTGCTACATCTTGTTGGCATACATGACTGTTTGCAAGTCTGGGGGAGAAAGAGGGTTGACGATTGAAACGATACCATTATTACAAGAACGCACTCAGTATCGATAGAGAATGAATGAATGACATCCATGATTAAAGGCAAAGTTCAACTCGTGCGAATGATCTACTTGAACCAAAAATTTGGCCCAAGAATCATGTGTAAATGGCATTGATGATGTTTCATGAGCCTACCTATGATTCATGAATAGTTTCCCGAACACTCGGGATACTTACTGCGTACATAGGTAAGGCAATAACTTCACCGCTTTTACATCATCCCCAAGCTCTGGATCACAATCACAAGCCAAACATAAACATAGACATAGTCATATAGTCAAAGTCAAGTATAACAACAATAACAATGGCGCCACAACGATTATCAACTTTATCTACTGTTCGGAAGCAGCATTTACTCGTAGAATTGTGCGTTTCAATCCAATCTTCTCATCAACGACCAAGTACATTACCATGCTGATGAGAGATCCACCAACATGCAGTTCAAGTCTAAAATACGCATGTCCACATGGCGTGTTCATGAGCCTCACACCTGGCGACCCCACCCTCTGGTCTGGCGTCCTATTCGTGCGGAAAGGTACCTTTGGATCTCATTGAATGCTCTGTCATCCCATGCATCTCCCGTCCGCGAACGCGGGCTCCATATAGCCAAACTATCGCGTCTCGACATCTATGACTTCAACTAATGTGTCTTGTTCTGTCTTATTCTAGGTCCTTATGCGCCTTCAATTCTGCGCTTTCAGATTTCGTTTCCACCTCAATATCCTGCTCTGCCGCCTCTAGTAACTTTCTCGACGGATATTTTTCACCCGCTGATTACGCCGCTTACAACTTACATGTACAGTACAGATACACAGTCTGACGGTACAGTGAGCGCGACAGATGAGGAGAGATTGCCTCCTGGAGGGTTCTCACTGAGAGAAGGGTTCCCGGCATGGTTTGGAAGAACAAGTAGAAAAGGCGCAGAGCAAGGAACTCCCACAAAGGCCGGTGGGAATACAACTGAGAGTGAAGCTATGAGTAGCCCAGAAAGTGGTATTTATTCACTGGGAAAGACTGCAGATGGTGTCAGGGTTGGGGTTTATGAAGTATTGAGATATATCCGAAGGACGTTCGACGATGAACTCGTGCTAGACAAGGTACCTTTGGAAGCGGCTGGTAACCCCGGCGCGTGGCACGCGTGGAAATCTTATCGCATAAAGATAGGCAAGATGACTGCAGAAAAGAAAGACTCCGATTTGAAGGATCCGACATCACCAGTAGTAGCGCGCGCGCCAGGAGAATGGAATTGGGATGGAGTGTGGGAAACCAGAGTCAAGAAGGGTGTCGAGGCCAGTACCGCCGAGACAGTCTTATATGGCTTAGGAGCAGATGATTTGATACAGTTCCTCAATTTTGACAAGGAGAAGGTCGAACAAATCAGAGAGCAGATTAAAGGGAGTGCGAATACTTTGGAGCCACAGCGGAGAAGCGTGGTATGATACCTGAGGGAATCCTGGACATTTCGACATTTTTTACAGTTCAGCATATCCTACGGACTATTCTTTCTAGCATTGATACCCCCGTTCACACAATATAAGCTTTAATTCTCCTGCCGATCTTCACATGCATTGGCGCTTGTGTTGCGCAAGAAAAATGTCCGATGTCTTCAATGTTGTGCATTTTCATGATCATTGAATGATCGCCTCCACGTAACCTGGCAGCGATGCTCGTCATTAGGGGCATATTAACATCTAGGGTTCAGATCCTCCGGGAGGAATGATCGACGCCGCATATAAAGTGGTCAGACTTCTACATCTTTATCTTCGATCCTGGAAGGTTCGCAGGCGGTCTGGATTTAGTTAGGGGTTATCAGTTTGATGAAGAAAGTTGTTTTATGTACTTGTTTGATTGGATTGTATCATTCATTTTAAGTGTGCGCTTTGAGTGTTGTGAGCTTGTCTTGGGGAGAGTAAAAGGAGGAATTTCAGTAAACCAACGAGTTGGTTCTCTGCGAGTCGTCTGGACGAACTTTTCGTAGCTTATTCCCTGGATTCTACATTGTGATTAATGGGGAGTTGCCTGTTAGTAAAGCGTTATCATTCAGTTTTCGTTTTAGTCAAACATTGTTCATTGGAATGGTAATTGGTTTTTCAATCTCTACAGAAAGACTCGATACATCAATATTCGAATACTGATCTGGATTTCTTCTTCAATTTCATTTCTGAAAGTTCCGGAACATGCAGGCCATTTCCACGCATGATTCCCTACAGTCTGACCTTTGAACGTCCCATAGTGTTGATACAATTTTTTTTCTTGGACAGGACTCTCCCTCTTGAAAAAGAGTGTGTACTCAAGCTTGTTGAATTGTTAAATCTTAGAGATCTTCGGCTACTGATATTTGATATGTAGGGCTGTCATAGTCTCACCTACATCTTGGGACGAACCTGCTTTTACACTGCATGGAAGTGAAAGCTTACAAGTTTCGTCCCGCCGTAGGAATCATTGCCCTTTAGTTCCATAGGATGAACAATTAATCACTGTACATTTCTTCTGGGCATCCTTCAATTCTCGATCTCATTTCAATCTTTTTGGCATATCTCTGGTGCTTTGGGATTACAGAAAACATGGCACCTGAATGTCCTATTCATGTTCGTTCACTTGAGCATTGAGGTCTCCGAGAACTTTGATTTAGTGTCGTCCTACATCCCATATGATCTTTCCCAAAAGATCGAAACGTCGCTCTTACCCAGGATTTCTGCAAGACAGACATACCTGCCTTTTCAATGTCGTGTATTATTGTCGTAGGGAATCTTCTCAATCTCAAAAGATTAATGGTATCTTCAACGACTTTATTGCTTCAATTTTTTTTTGGCTATGATTACAGAATCTTATTCTCCTATTGGCGCACTTATAATAGTACCGATTATTATCCTATTGTCCGTTGTATTCATTGCATTGAAAGCAGGTAGTATTTGGAGGTGGATCTTTAACTGTTGCCACCGGCCTGGGAATACTTTCGGTCGTTCCAGATTGTACCGGAGATTCAGAACTCGACACTCAAGTCTCGAAGATACCTACGACGGCGCCTGGAGCGATTTAGAGACTACACGTTCAGGTGGTTCTAGTTTCGTCAGTAGAGCATCCAGATTGGGCACTTTCATGAATCTATCTTCGGAAACACGCTCAGCAACCTCAATATGGCACACTCCATCTCAACAAACCAGAAGCTTCATGAGCCCGAGGTCGAGCCGCTACGAATTATCAAACGTAGCCAAACCGTTACCAGTCGCATTTCGAGCTCAAGATTTGGAGGCGCAGATGAATGGGGAATGGATGGATCCCCTTTCTATGATGAGGGTGAGGGAAGCCCGCCGGTGGCAGCGAACAGACCTTTAGTGCCTTTGACTATACACAAAATAAGAGGGGGTAAGGGTAGAGGCAGTATCCTAGATGATGGTGATTTGTCCGTCAAGGTTGTGGACATTGTGAAGCAAGGTATTGATTGCCTAGGTATTAGGTCATACTACAACAGCAGCTAACTGTTTCAGATCATCCTGACCATTCGAAAGACGATTTTGAACTTACACCAAAAGCATCTGAAGCGCAGAGGAATATAAGCACAGGAAAGTTCTTAAGGACAGAATTACATTCTCTGAGTTCAGAAAGAGATATCGAATTTCCAGATATTCGAAAATCAGCTGGCTCTCCAGTATTACCCCAAAGAAAGAAATCCAAATCCAAGTACTCTCTGTTAAGAGCATTTGGTGGTCGACGGAATGAGGACCTGGATCCCTATTCTACTATTGGTCGGAGTCATTCTTCGAGTTCGGCGAAATCACATAGCACTCTTCTTCGCAAGCTTTCTCGTAGGAAATCTTCAGCTTCTACCATTCAATCAATAGCTTCTTCGAGTATTAGGACTGTTGATCTCTCTAATCCCTTTGATACAATTGACAATCAGAGTATCAATGATTCCAGAACCAACTCAAGAGCATCGTCCTACTACGATGGCACCATCACGATGTCGAACCCACCTACACCTACACCAACACTGGTACCAACACTCTGTTCTTCTAGAGATGATAATTTCGTTCTGTGCCCGCAGATTTCTGTCACTCCAGAGAGTGCTAGTGTGAATGCGGGTGTTTGTACATTATGGGCTGCTGTTGAGATCACCGGCGTCCTTAGGAGAGCTGATGGTACATCGACATCAGATGATGCCGGTCGCACTTATAGTACACAGAATCTTACTCCACGATATTTAGGTAGGACATAGACTCTCTTAGTCTTTGAAAAGTGCGCTCATTGACTTTTCTAGACCTTAGAAGTTATGGCAGTCTCCACAACATTGCTGTTGAATTCCAACCTGGGCCAGATTGTATCATAGTTGACCAGCCGGCAGACACCTTTCAAGCTAAGACTATTCGGGTGAGTGAGACTCATCTTATGTTAGTGAAGATACGATTGAACGAAGTCAAAATTTCGCTATCGCACGCGAAGCAAAGATCATCTGATGAACTGATCGAAAACCTGAATGAAATTCTGGGAGACATCACTACTCATTATTTGACCGTAAAACTCAACTATAGACACTCAGCTTTCTTAAACTTAAGGTCGCAGGCTGCCGAAGGAGAATTCAGGCTCTTACCACAACACACTTTGCTGGAAACTAAAGCCACAGCATCGATTAAGCGCCATAATCCAGCGTCTGCTTGGTCACCTAGAAGCTCTGGGACTCTAAGTTCGATAGTAGGAGCTAGTGTGCTTACGAAGATCATCGAAAAGCAATTTTCGGCCGAGAAATCGAGAGAAGCACTTCAGAAGCTCGCGGAAGACAGAGCAACGATTCCATATCCTCGAAGGACCTACGGATATTCGTCGGATAAGGAAAATCGAAAATCTACAGCCAGCTCATTGTCATGTGTAGATTCAACTAGCAGCCTACTCTCTCACTCGTTTTCAATGACAGCCATCTCAAATTTCAATGCTCGAAGTAGCCCCCTTTCCAAACGTCTGGGCTCGCCTTACGACCATCCATTAGATCAAGTAGACATAGAAATGGATCCTGCACGGAAGATCTGGTCACAAATGAGAAGGACCTCACGTCCCGCTGGCAAACATCCTCGGGCGAGTATCAGCGATGGAAACTACTTTAGCGCAGATCCAGACGCGCTATACGAGTGTACTCCACGATATGGAGGTAGCTTAAGAAGTCCGAATCTCTCTATTTTTGAACCGTCTGATAATCTCCTGGACACTTCACTTGAATTGACGCCAAAAGCGAAACGCGATCGACTTTCGAGGGGGAAAAGTACAAATGATGTGATTGATGACGATAGACATCACCTTAGAGAGATGGCGTTGAGGAATAAGAGAAGCGTGGGGCAAGAAACATTGAGGAGTATGGTACCTAGTACTCATAGTGGGGGAAACGTGTTCGGGGGTAGGCACGGTGGCGTCTTAGGGGCCGTAGCGGGAGTAGGATTACCAGGTAGAAATTGGGGGCAATGGTTGCCTTGGGGGGGTTAGATATTGTAGTGAGATATCGATTGAACTTTGTCTGACTTAAAGTTGGACATTCAGATGGTCGAAATAATTAGTCGTTTCTGTTGGAATTGTTATTGGAATGGTTGTATATGCTTATACCGAGAGTTAATGATTTTTCGCCTCTCTTTTTCTGAATATAGTTAGCATCAATCAATGCATATGCATATTTCTGAGATTAAATACTGAGCTACATCAATACGGTTATTGGTTTTGGTAATGAGAGCCTGACATGACCATCATGACTGATACACCTGGAATTCTTCTTCCTGTGAGTCTTCCGTGACATTCTTGCATCAGGAAAGTTGATTTCCATTCAGCCTATGAGTTCGCCAGTTGAAAATCATAAGTGCTATTATTAGTAGAAGCAATCTATAGATCAGTGAAAAGGAGAAGAACATTCTAATGATGTGCTAAAGCTTTTCTTCCCTTGTTCGCTTCAACTGGTGGAATGAAAGGTTGCCCTATTTTTGAAATGAAGACTTTGAAAGCTAAATTTCGACTTTAATAAAGATTGGATTAGCAAAGCAATATGTAGGAGAGAAAAACAATTCTTTCCATTATCATCTGTTCCGCTCACCATGTTGCGAGCTTGCGTTGTGATTGTTAGTGTTGATAGACTGGAAAGAACACAGTCGACGATGTCAGATGAAGTGACCATGAATGGTGGGAATTCGTGCTAGCAGTATTCTAGGTAGCTAATGATAGTGCATATACAGATTTCTATATAGAGAAATTAAGCACTTGAGATGATACTACTAGCTTGGTCACTTTAGCTTTGATTTCTTGAATTATATTGCATGGGTACCTATTTGGAGATTCTAGATATTGTCTGGCTCTGGGATATCTGAATTTTTAGCATCTATTGTTCAAAAAAATTAACAAGGAGTTAATATCCGATGGGATACTATAGCGTTCAATTGAAGTCTCTCAAGATCTTATGTTGTACTTTTCTCGTCAATTTATATAGGCCCATCCCCAGCCCTAGTAAGTGCTATTATAGATGGTAGATAACTCCTATTATTCTTTTCGGTAGATTTGGCTTCTATGGATTGGTCTATAGTATATTTGAAAAATTTCTAGCTTGTGACCTTACGTTTGTAACTCTCAAAATCATCCCCTCCTTAGCATGATACTCGTATGCTATTCTTACTATGACCATCTGAAAAACTGTACCCTTAATTAATTGCTTTTTATGAATAGTTGATGTCACACAAGAGTGATAAGTTGAGATATTTCATTTCAGTGAATAGGAGGTATCTCATCAAATCTGCTCTAGATATACATTACGCGAATATTTCAGCGATTCTAGAATAAGAATATTTAGTATAAGATGATTATTTCTAGCGCGAGGGCAATCTATAAGGATTATGATTTCATTCAAAGCAAAAAGAGGTATTACTTTGTTCTTGATTCGTAGGGCTATTCTCTGGAGGGACTTGGACCAGGAAGATGGAACCAAAGGTTTCGATATACGGTTGTTGATTCGCGTATGCTTCTGGCTGGTAAGCGAAAAGAGTAGAATGATCGCAGGGAGTGTCTACAAGCGTGAAGGTATTTTAGAAGTGCGTTAAAAAAGCTTACTCAAGGAGAACGCAGAGTTCCTAGGAAAGTACTTTTGGGGAAGGGGTTTCTGTTTTCTTCTGGACGTGTTTGAAGGGATGAGATAGGTATGGGATGGAAGAGAATCCGAGCTCCAATTTCGATTTGGATGTTAATCAAGATGTACCGCATCCATACTCAAGGTTAATAGCCGGAGTATTCTAAATGCACCTAGCTGAGGCCATAGGTATGCTTGTTTGTATTTGTAGCCCTGTGAGCTAAAAATATATATATAGGTTGAGGCGATAAAATAGTGGGTAGATAGATATATTGAGACTGGGCTATGATGTAAGCTAGGTAAATTTAGCAAATGACTGATATCTAGAATCAATGAGACCGCATAGTAGTACAAGTGAATACAGTATGGCTAGAGTCATGTAGTCAGTGTAGGCAATAGTATTTCCCGTATTTCGTATACGGGTTAGTTTAGTAGTGCGTATCGAGTTTTTTCGAAATATGTACATATATAATATAGAATTCAATATCACTAAAAGTATTCAATATCATTTAGTTATTTAATACTATTAGCAATATACTGAAATACTGGAATCCAATATAAAATATACATTTCTATTTAAATTAGATTAGAAATAAGGAATTTCTATTCAATTTGAAATAAGGAATGGATTTTATTATTTAATTTAAATAGGAATGTATATTTTATATTGGATTTCAGTATTTCAGTATATTGCTAGTATTCTCTAGATATATGAATATGTACGAGAGTGGTATAATCTCCTTTCTATATATATTAGTTGCAATATCGATATGCTAATACGCGCTATAGTTTCACTATAGTATACTATTGCCTATACTGCATGTAGTGAATTGATGTATTGGGAGGTTTGTTAGTCAAGTCGGCCTACATTGAAATTGAGAATACACTGACGTACAGTGCTTACTTATTTAAAGACTTCTAAAAACATATCTGGAGTTCTATACTTGGGGTACTCCTAGTGTTCATTCAAAATAAGTCTCAATTTATCATAGGACGGTAATCATTCGAGTTTTCAACTAACGACTACATGCTACTTACTTACTAGTAATTTTGTCTGCAAGAGTTTCATCTAGATTTACAGTGTTATCTAGACCAGTGAAGGCGAAAGATTTGCTCTTCATCAGCTCCAACATAGAGATGTTGAAACGACTCAAGTCGGATGAGAAGACAAAAGCTGCTCCAAGTATTGGATTAGTCCCGATGGATCTCGAGTCCCAAGAACAGATCACTACGCCCATCAATCGAACCTTCACCCTCTTCCCAAACCTTCCTCTCGAGCTCCAGCGCAAAATATGGAAGTTCGCCGCAATCCCAGTTTCACGCGCGATTGAAATTCAGTGCAGACGAATGAAAGATATTAGGCATCCCATAACCAAGTTCTTCTTCAAATCCTTCATCAACCCACTTTGGATTCAATATTGCACAACGAAAACCCCTATCCCAACGCCCCTTCTCCATACCTGTAGCGAATCTCGCAACCTCGCTTTGCGAAACTACTGTTTTCATTATCTGCTCAATCGACCATTCTACTCCAATGTCGATACGGAAATTTTATGGATGAGAGGTCATGCTATTTTCGGGTTCGTGCGAAGAGGCAATCGTGTGGGTTTTATGGGTCCGCAGGATGATCAATATGAATTTTGGTTATCGAGATATAACTTCCGTTTTCTTGCTATCGATCATCAATCCCGGCTGATCATCCATAACAAGGGGCAGTTTACGCAGACAGAGGAGATCTTTTCTTGGAATATGAACTTTTGGAAGAGATACGTATTGGAAGCGCCGACGGTAGAGAAAGTTTACTTGGTATACAACCAGCGGGAGAAGCGAACAGAGGCGTTGGAGGAAGCGAAGACATTGTTTGAGCATGGGAAAATCGTCATGGCGCAAAGCTCTCAGTATGCTGATACCCAAGTGCCGAGTAGATATTATTGTAAATTTACGGGATTACGGAAAAAAACGGGGCTGGGATTTAGAGCTCCTCCTGTTGAAGCGATTTTGGATACAGAGCTCATGCAACAATTTCACTAGGTCATCTTATCCACTGTCGTTTACTACACATGTGACTTTGCGGGATTTGAATTCTGGAGGAGCTGAATCATAATTGCTTCCTTTCTTCTAAGGCGGTTTGTAGACATTCCTTCCAACCCATTCTAACCCACCTCATTTCACCTCGCCTCTATAGATCAATTGCCTCGCTTCCTCCTCAATACCATCAGGTACTGGAAACAAGGAAAATATCTAGATATAAAGTCTCGGTAGCAGTATATTTATTCATCTACTTCAATTTAACAAAAACAAAAAGAGAAAGGAGCTTGATACATGGGAATTACATGTGAAACTTGACATGAAAGTTATATAATGATTATGATCTCATTTCATCAACCCCTACGAGCTTCTACACCAATAAAGATTGAACTACATATCATCAAAATCATTCCAAATCAACATCAATCTCCCACAACTTGAATCCGAATGCACTTACTATCTAGTCACTAATAAATTCCCCCAACATAAAGAAGACACCATCTCCTCTCTGATTACCTTCAATACAAACACATCCTCCAACGATCCACCTCGCCTTCTCATTCTAAACCAAAACCAAACATCTTTCGGATCATACATCATACATCATATATGCTTGCAGCAAAATATCAAAATATACAAGATTAGTACAGCAGTCAGCCTATCAGTCCATTCGGTGTTCTAAACATATTTAAATATCCATCTATCTAGTTATATACCGGTACCTTACCCTCTCATGGTTCAGAATGAAGCCCAAATATCCATATACATTCAAACATTGCTTTGTCTTATAGATCGATACACGAACTATTGAATGTACAAGTACCTAGGTATCTGTTTGAGCATTGAATTAAAGTAATCTTGTACTCTGAGCATTTAAAGAATAATACACAAGTATCTATCTAATTTATCTTCAATAAGTTTGAAACACCTAGATACCTATATAGAAAGTTAGAAATATAATACTTGAAACAAACGTTTATACATTTATATACTTACTTCCATACCTTTCTAGCTACCTATTCACATTTAGATCGAGATTTCTGATCTACAATTCTAATTCATATATTCCAAAATTCGACTCATTCATTCTCGCTTAACTTAATAAATCTATCATTAAGAGACTCATCTAGATATAATATAGGTGATTATTTCATTTCACTGCTAACTACTCACTTATCTAGGTACATGTTCTGTAATTTTATATGTATGATCTTTATAACAGTTAATTACCTGATCTAATGTAACTTGCAAGGCTCGCTTCGCTGCGCTCTTTCAGAGTCAAAGAAGCGATGATCAAACTGTGGATAATAACACAAGAATTAAAATCTTTCAAATGCTCGTTTATCATAGCCTAGTCTAGCTCAGACGAACTCTTCTCAATCATCAAAATCATCACATATCTTCTTTATTCCCACGTAAAAATTAAAAATCAAAACTAAGTCTTGATCTGTTTGAATATAGGAAGATAAATGCTCTTAATTTCGCACTGAAAGAGAAATAGGTATATACGATTGATTCTAATCTCCATTTCAATCCTCTTCCTCACTCTCCTCCCCAAAAATCGCCTTGAAAACCGCATCTTCCGGTCTCCGACTTTCCAACACTTCATTTCTTTCCGCATTAACCGCCGTCTGTCCTCTCTCCTTTGAAAACTGTAAACTTTCCAGGTCAGTATTATCATTGAAATCCTCCCTCTTAATATCATCTCCAAACCCTCCATCCCCAGCTTCCCTCATAATTCTCTCCACCTCTCTCCTGCCCACTAAGTCCTGAGGGACTTCCCTGCCCACCCCGCGCTCTTCATCCGCAGACGGCTGTACATGTTTCGGCGGCTGCACATTGAACCTCTTACACAGCAATCTCGTTGGAAACCAATCTTTTCTCTCTCTCGTCATCGGACCATACATTCCCATTCTTGCCGCCTGTTCCGCTGGAGCTTCTTTTATCTCCGGTTTACTCAAGAGCTCGTTCACCGAACCATCTTGTCCTGGTAATATTGTACTTGAAGATGAGCTTGTGAAGCGTGTAGCCATTAGTCCCGTCATTGGTTTGAAGATTTTCGCGCAGTTAGCGAATTCTTTGAGTTCCTTTAGCCAATCTTCTTTCCTGGTTAACATACTCCTTTCCGGCAAGGTTAATACGATGCCAGCTTGATGTTCGAGATAAGCACGATAACGAATACGTTTGGGTTCGTCTTCGCCATAGACGCTTGCGCAACGCATGAGTGCTGCATCAGCGGTATATTTATCGATTTTGGGAATCTGAGAAAGGAGTTCTTGCTGTCGTTGCTCGGGGTTCATAGCATACCCCTCGGGAATTTCACCTAGGGCTTGGGGTAGATTAGATTTGCCAGAAGCGGCGGCTAATCGATCACGAGCAGAGCTGGAGAGGAAATCAAATACTGATTTCCCAGGTAGAGCAGCTTCTCCTAGAATAGAAGCTCGAGATTTGGGGTCTAGCTTGGATGCCTTTGCTGCGTCCGAGGTGGATTGATATTGTGATTGTTTAGATTCGGATTTGGATTGTTTAGCTGATTTCCATCCTTCAGGGATTGTGGGCGGTGGATATTTTGAAAGTGTTTCGGACATTGATGTAGTAGTCAGATCATTACTCAAAATAAATCCATCTAGAGGTAAGCGACCATCATGACATTTCCGCAGCCCAGCCGCTGCCTTTGCCATAGCGGTCTTTTTCGATATAAAGACAGGTTTAGATTTTAACAATGAATTGGCAGCTGGTGTTAATGGTTTCTTCTTCTTCTTGTCTCCTCCTAGCACTCTATTATAGGATATTCGTGGACCAATTTCATAAGGGTCTTCGTCATCCGAACCAGTATCGTTTAATATGCCAATACCAATGCCACCTCTGACAGGCTTCTTCTTCTTCTTAGCGATTTTAGGTGCTATTGAAAATGACCTATCACCGTCCTCATCTTCTGACTTATTTTTCTCCGATCCGAGTCCATTTATTGGCGTCAACTTCGTCTCCCCATCAAAACCTAAGCCTTTATGATCATTCTTCCGAAGGAAACTGATCATGCGGGTGTTTTCAGGCGCAAAGAGATATGCCGCATCGGCATCTGCTCCAGACCTTTCTATTCCATCTAAACGAGCTTTTCGTCGAACTTTTGGTCCTACACCCTGTCCTTCTTTCCAACCCATTTTCTTCAATAGCTTCACCCCCAATGTCTCTCCGTCAGTTCTGAAAAGATCAATAAATGCGCCTCTGCGAATTGCATCATCTTGCGTCGAACCAATTCCAGCGAAACCTTCTGCTGTTTGTACTCTTTGAGCTTCTGCAGCATCCGCCAAATCTTCATCATCCATAAAATCTTCTGGTCGTTGTTGGCGTACTTTGGCCGCATCTTTATTTCGATTCGATCGAGAGGATACAAATGTCGAAGGTGTCCAGCCTTCTTTCGATCCAACCGTGTTGAAATATCCCGCACTGAAACCACCGGTAAAAGCACCATGTAATCTTTTCAACCCCCTCTCATCGCGAACTTCCTGTTTCCACACCGGTACATAAGATCCATCATCTCGCACATCTGTATCTCGTGGGGGTAATGGGGTTCCGTATACGACGAAGGGGGACTGTTGGGCCTGTAGATCTGCTTCGTATGTTGCTCGCGAACGTTTGCCGGACATGGTAAGAATAAGTTAACAATCGAGAACAATATCGACTGGGGATTGGGAACAGGTCGAGGCTGCATCCAATTATTGAATGGTCAGCCTTGTCAAGTTTATTGGGTGCAAACGGCTAAACGTAATTGGTTTAATAAACGCAGAGTGAATTATTAATATGAGGCTATTAATAGTCTTTTCTTAGTGTGAGGATCCCATGTGATTACGTAAGTGTTCTAGCTCTCAGTCGTACAAGCTAGGTAGGTAGATATTGAACTGAAAACGGCGACAACGGCTCGGTTTCCGCTATCAATCAATTTTCCGATTGATTTCTGGGAGGAAATCATCTCTACATAGGTAGCAATGGTAAATTGTAAGATTACATAGTAATCTGGAGAACTCAGGGGAGGAGTACACGTACCTAGTAATGCAAAAAGACGTGAAGACTGACCTTGAATTCACGTACTGGAGGAAGAGGGGTACAAGGATTGCATTGGACATTACTTGGTTTAATCATCAATCGTACCAGAAAATCGATAGTTGCGCGTCAGCTTCGTCTTAGTCTAGAGTGTTACGGTGGTGACGGAGTGACTGGGTTTGAGATGGATGTGATGTGATGTGATGTGACATGATATGATATGGTATGGTATAAAGATTGAGGTAATTCATCAAGCTTGTTCACTTAATTCTATGATACAATACAGTACGACAATCTGCTTTATCAACATCTGCTGGAGAGTCATTACATTACCCAGGCACTACCTCGTATGTAGAGGGATGAGAATGCATCAGTGTTCACTGACTGATGGTGAAGATGATTAATGAACAAGGTTATACTGGTACGATAGCGTGTATTATGATTGTGCTTGTTGCTATTTGAGTTCTTTCCTGCCTCGAATTTGGAACCTAGTACCTTGAATGGGGTATGGTGGGATGAAAGGGAATGAATGGGATTGTGTAGCGATAGTATGACATGTATTCGGGGACGATGTAGATTATTATATATATATATATATATATGAGGATGTGAAGAGAGAAAAGACAACTGATACGAGCAAGGCAGTAGGTAAGAAAGAATGTATGGAGTATGGATGATGATGATGAATGTATATGGATGAATATATATGGATGAATATATATGAATAATTATATATGAATGAATATATATGGATAAATATATAATGTGATTTATTATCGAGTGAACTATATTATTAAGTAAGCTACTTCAAAATATATTAAAATTAAGACTTTTTGAATATTCGTATTTTAATAACTAATCATTATTTAAAAAAAAAAAAAAGATTAAATAATAATAAAAGATTAATTTTCTAAAAATCTAGTTTTTATATAAATATTTTCATTTTATATTAAAAAAAGTAAAAATTGTTATAATTTTTATTACAAAAAAATATTCCTAATAATAATTCTTATATTAATTCGAATTTCTAATAAATAATAAGATTTTTGTAATATTTATATAATTAAATTTCATAATTTTAATTTTTAAAAAATTCTATTAATAAATAAAGAAAGTGTATGGTTATATACAAACAAATTTTGTATATAAAAATGATGGCTTACTCGATGATATAATTTATTTGATGATAAATCACGTTATAGATGAATATATATGAATGAATATATATGGATGACTATATATAGATAACTATATATGAATAACTATATATGGATGAATATATATGAATAACTATAGATGAACCTACCTACTTGGGTATTCTCGTAACCACATTAATCAATCAGCCTTACCAATGATATACATTATTTACTCAGGCACATCTTTGAAATTGACGGCATTTACCACTGGGTAATCTTGCATTGGCTTGAGATTGTATGTGAATTTTACCCAGGTGACTACTACGACCATACTAGGTGTGGAAGTATCTCGTGCCAGCATGATTATTTTCTAACTTTACTCCATTTACCCAATAATCTAATCCCTCATTCATTCATTCATTCATTCATTCATTCACTCACTTCAATCATCATTGACTTGCTTACTTTCACTCAATACTCATTTCACTCATTCACTCACATCACTCACATCATTCTCAACTCACTCTTCACTCCCTTCCCTTCCCTTCCCTTCCCTCCCTCACTTATCAATCCCTTAATTTATCCATCGTAGCCGTCATTCACCCGACCTTCTTCATTTTAACTTTTGGGCTTGATCCATTTATATTTCCCTTTTTCCTTTTTCTCTTTCCCTCATCCCGATACATTCATTCATTCATGCATTTTACTCGATTTGGTCAAAAGTGTAATGTAAAGTGTAATGAAATTCGCATGTATTGGAAAAGAAAAGGCAAAAAGCTAATACGTAGGTAGATACAGACAGGTACCTAGTAGACACTGGGTATCTAGCGCTTGTAACCCCTCCAACATCTTCCTCCCTAGTATCTATCTACATGTATCGCTTTTTCCAATTTCCAAGGTTTCTTTCTCTCTGCAATTCTCTCTGCAACCAACCATTCATCAATCACCTCAATCACCTCAATCACCTCAATCAATCACCCCCCATCTCTCCCAATACTTCTATTCTGCTTTCACACAATATCCAGCCACCACCATACGTATAGAATTATTTTTCTCCCACTGGTGGCCACCGACCGAATCTCGACTCTTCCTGACTCTCCCATTTGCTTCTCTTTCTCTTCTCACAATCGTAACAACAATAATAAACTTGACTCAATTGGAACATCCGATACGACAGACACGGGGAATCTTGAAGCTTGCATATGCATTCATCAGAAGCGCCTCCGTACAACTAACTACCTACCCAGCCCAGCCCAGCTCAGCTACCTAATAAACTGACTGACGACTGACTGATTGACCGATTGACTGATTGACTGACTGCTACCCAACCTTAAACCTTGAAATCTTATTATTATTATTATTATTATTATTATTATTATCACCGTTAGTTAACGGTATTCATTATTTATTATTGTTGTTGTTATTATTATTATTATTGTTGTCCCTCTTCCATTCATCACTGCCACTCACATCTTGTCATAACAATACAATCAATACAACTCAACTCAACCCAAACCCAACCTCGATATTGCTTTTGTCCACTACTCTACCACCACCATCACCACCACAATATCTGGATTACTAGGTATTTTTCAATAACGGAATAAAATCAACCTCAACCAGTCTATTAATCAGAAAGAATTCAGAACGATCAATTCCATTCTCCTTTTTTTTATTTACATTCATCATCTAATTCCAGGTGACGTTGCCCACATAGTAGTAAGTAATATTTACTAGGGTCCCGCGTTGGTCTCTGCAGCTGGCTGGCTCCCTGTTCTTTCGGTTGCTTAATTCCTCCATGGCGACAACAACTTCCGTCTCGCCCGCTACGCTGGAGCGAAATAACTCACGACGAGGGTATAACAATTCAATTCCCCACCGTTCCCAATCGACAAGAGTGAAAAGTACTACCACCGATTCACCACAACGATCACATTCACATTCACATTCACATCACCATCGACCGTCATCATCACGACATGCGGCTGTAGAAGAATCAATCCCCCAGGCGAATTATGAGACTGCAAACGTCGCGCAACAATCAAGAAAAACATCAAGCAGAGACGGTTCAGCTCCTTCGAGACACGAATCTACGAGAAGCGCAACCAGTAATCATCGGTCAACTCATCACAGTCGACATTCAAACGAGATGGCCACGGCTGCAGCAAACGGCGGAGGCCCAGCCCCCGTGGTGACACCGCAAGAATCCAGACATGCGGCACACAAGGGAAAATCGAGAACTACGATACCAGCACAGTCCGGAAATTGGATTTTGGGCAAGACGATTGGTCAGGGTAGTATGGGTAAAGTGAAGCTGGCACGGAGGGCGGAAGGAGGTGAGCAGGTAATTATCCTTCATTCCGCGGTACAGATTTCAGTCATGTCTAACAAGTGTCGATAGGTTGCCGTCAAAATTGTTCCACGAGGATCCACAGATGAGAATCACAACCAAAGTCGAGCTGATAGAGAAAGAGCCGATCATTCGAAAGAAGTTCGCACCGCCCGTGAAGCGGCTATCGTGACACTCCTGGATCACCCATATATCTGCGGCATGAGGGATGTTGTGCGTACGACTTATCATTGGTATATGCTATTTGAATACGTGAATGGGGGACAGATGCTTGACTACATCATCTCTCATGGAAGATTAAAGGAAAAGCAAGCTAGGAAATTCAGCAGACAAATCGCCAGCGCCTTGGACTATTGTCATCGAAATAGCATTGTTCACAGAGACCTGAAGATTGAGAACATCCTCATTAGCAAGACGGGCGATATCAAGATTATTGATTTTGGCTTGAGTAATTTGTTCGCACCACGAAATCATCTCAAGACTTTCTGCGGCAGTCTCTATTTCGCGGCCCCGGAGTTATTGCAGGCAAAGGCATATACCGGACCCGAGGTGGATGTTTGGAGTTTTGGTATCGTGCTTTACGTTCTGGTCTGCGGCAAGGTTCCTTTTGACGACCAAAGTATGCCGGCATTACATGCAAAGATCAAGAGAGGCATTGTAGATTATCCCAATTGGCTGACTCCTGGTAAGTTCTATGCATCTTCCAAATCGATATGGTACTGATGAGAGGCAGAATGCAAACATCTTATATCAAGGATGCTGGTCACTGATCCAAAGCAACGTGCAACACTACAGGAAATCATGAGCCATCAGTGGATGATAAAGCAATACGGTGGTCCACCTGAAAACTACCTGCCAGTTCGAGATCCCTTAACACTTCCTCTGGATGACGATATCATCAACAGTATGACCGGCTTTGACTTTGGCTCACCGGAACTCATTAAACAACAATTGACTGATGTCATCAAGTCTTCCGAATATGGTCATGCCGTGCGTCTGGCAATGCAGGAACGAGAGAATTCTGGTCCTCCTCGCGACTCGGAGAGGAAGAGAGGTGTATTCGATTTTTACAAAAGAAGAAATTCTACCACGAGCCGAGACACCTTGACTGCACCGAGTTCAGAACTCCTCCAACTCGGCAACGACCCTGTGAACGCCTATCACCCTCTCATTTCTGTGTATTACCTTGTTAAGGAGAAGCGCGAGCGTGATGCACTTGAATCTAGCCCAGGCGCAACTTCAATGCCACGGATGCCAGGCGAAGCTCCACTACAAATGGCAGAAATCTCGGCTCCCAAGCCAGCTTATACAAATGCAACGGCCTATGAGATGCCTGGTGAGAAAGCTACCGGAGGTCGATCACGCCCGCGTGCCCGCACTCACGGCGAGGATGAAGTGACGGAAGGGATGAAGAATGTCAAACTTGGTGGCTCTACTGCCCCTCCATCACCTGCAATAGTGGAACCTGTAGAACAATCGGCTAGGAAAGAAAGCACTGCTGCCGGTATTCTGAGAAGGTTCAGTACACGACGACGCAAGGAGCCTCCACAATCTGAAAAAGCCGGCAATCATCTCACTGTCGGTTCTTCAAATGAGCCATCAACACTTAGAAAGAGTTTCAGTGTGCGCCGGCATCGAGATCGGGATGGAGATGGACATCTCCGCCCAAGTGGAAGTGAGCGCCAACATAGTGATCTTCTCACTCCACCATCTGCCGAAAATTCTGGAAGTTCTAAATTAGGTCGGTCGACGAGCGTTAATTCCGCAGAATATAGACGACGAGAAAATCGACGAGGAGCCGGATCAGGAGCAGGAGTTGCTGCTTCGGAAGCAATGCCACCACGGGTTACTTACAAAGACCCACCTCCAACTAGTGGTTCCGATCATTCAACGACGAACGAGAAACCTCCCCGCGAGAGCGAAAGAGCTGGTCTGAATCCTAGAGCCGCCACTATGAGAGCCAAATCATTGGGCCATGCAAGAAGAGAAAGCATACAAGCTCGACGAGCTCGAAGGGAGGAAGCTAGAGAAGCAAATGTACCCGAGGAGACGGATGTTGAAATGGGCGACAATAGTGGTCTATCAACCGAACGAGTTGACAATGCAGAGAATGTCAAACCCGTATTTCTCAAAGGGTTGTTCAGCGTATCGACCACATCAACCAAACCGGTTCAGGCCATTCGCATGGATATTATCAGAGTATTGAGGCTCCTCGGGGTGGAATATACAGAAATACGAGGCGGTTTCAGTTGTCGGCACATTCCTAGTATTGATTTAAAGAAGGTTGTCGATGTACCTCCTAGCAGCCACGGCAATCACACTCCTGGACATAGAAGAAAGATTAGTTTCGGAGGCTTCATGGGAGGTGGTAATAGTGCAGAGAGAGATCGCGAGGATTTCCGAGAAGCAGAAAGATCACCACCAAACTCCAGAACTCCACGTCGAACTCGTGGTCCCGAGAATAGCTACTCAAATTCGGATGCTTCTGATGAGAGTGTTACTAGACACGGTGATTCGTCAGCTAGGGCTGTAGGCGAAACTAGCACACATGTACAGAGTGACCTTGGCGGTAGTATGATTCTCGAATTCGAGATCTTCATCGTCAAAGTTCCTCTCCTCTCCTTACACGGCATTCAATTCAAAAAGCTTCGTTCCGGGGGAACTTGGCAATTTAAGAATATGGCAGATCAAATTCTTCGCGAGCTCCGACTATGATAGTTCTCACGGCAGCTTTAAACACGAATACGCTAGTCTTATGAACACTACTATTTGAGTTGCAATACAGAACTTCCAGTTAGCTATTCTTTTGTTATCTTACTCGAACAAGGAATGAGGGCGAATGAGCGATTGGAGGAAAGACATACACGCATTATTCTTGAAACGAATTCCTTTTGTTAGCGAAAATTGATGAGAAGATGGCATGCATCGTCACACATTTTGGGGCCATTTTGTCTTTTTAATGCGCCCACAATTTTCATTTGTTTGTTCCAATGCCCGACAAATGTTCGTGTCGATTTTCCTTGCAGAACCAATTTTTGGTTCATATATGTAGTAATTATGGGATAAGAGTTCCTTTTTCCAGGGGGGAATAAGGGACGACATTTGAAATTTGGCATTTCCTTAATATTGTGGGGAAGGAATCTTGGTTTGGGACATTTTTATTGTGGAGGAAGGAGATGGGAAGGGGACAAAAACAGTTGGTTGGCTAGGAGTGATGTGTATTTGGGGGTTGTGCAAGCCGTTAGTTGATTGTGGAAAGGAACGAGGGAAAGAGTGAAAATGAGGATGGAGCTATGGGTAGGTAGGGCAAGAACAAGGATAGATAATTCCGATACTGTACTTCTCAATTTGATTAACTCATAGCAGACTCACTGACTTTGTTGTCCATGGTTGAAGTTTCCTTTTTTTGGTTTTGATTCTTTGCGTCTTTGGCCTTTCCTTTCCCGCGTCGCTTTCCCTTCATCTTTCTTGCCTGTTGTATGTAGTATGTAGATTTAAACGTCCGACGATCCCTCTACCTCTATCGCCCTCAATTATTATCCGCATGTCAACCCACATTTAACGTATCGCAAAGAAGACCATGGATACACCTCGTTTTAAATCAGGTACAGGGATAAGATCGCCAATGCCGCGAACCCCGAAACGCTCGGAGTCGTCTGAAAGTACTTGGTCTTTTGATGAGATCTCTAGTGAGGAGAGTGATTCAACTGGGGAGACGGCTTTTTGGAGAACTCCGAGGGAAAGATTGAAAGGAAATGGAGGGAGATTGGATAGGTGGAAGGCGAAGGTGAGTATTAATATTGGTACGGGGCTGAGGATGATTGAGAGATGGAGTAGATTGAAACGCTGGGTCGATTGGAACAGTGCAAACAGATGGATGGTAAGGGTGAAATTGAAGTTGAAAAAGAGAGAGAGGAATTTTAGGTACACTATGCGAGCTTCCCCCTTCCCACTCCTCCGCTTCTAGATACGATATAAGTATCTGGCCCATATGCTCACTACTAATTAAAGTACAAGTACCCGTCGCTTTTATCGTCTCTCTGTATTTATGATGGGCTTCTACTTCATATCAACACTCTTCTTCTACTCCTTTCCTTCGGCTACCTATACTTCCTCGTCGTTACCCAACGTCCACACATTAGGTTCATACATTCCCGTCCAACCCTTTCTTCCCTCCTCTCCAACCGCTAAATCAAAAGTACGAGAAAACAAATCCGATCCTATCAAATGGCTCAAAGAAAACTCTGACAACCGCTATGCTCTCACCGATCCTTCAAAACCATGGGTCTCCCGGATATCAGAATGGCGATCTCCCCGACCCAAAGCCGCGCTTATTTCTCTCGTGCGCAATTCTGAACTCGAAGGTATGTTGCAATCGATGAGACAGCTCGAAGCGAGATGGAATCATAAATACATGTATCCGTGGGTATTTTTTAATGATGAACCTTTTTCGCGGGAATTTATACAGAGCACGGGGAATGCAACGAAAGCTGAATGCCGGTATGAGGTTGTGCCAGAGGAGTATTGGACTATGCCGGAGTGGGTGGATGAGGGGAGATTTATGAATAGTTTGGACTACTTGGGGACGATTGGAGTGGGAAAGGGTTGGATGGTTAGCTATCATCATATGTGTAGATGGAATAGTGGGTTCTTTTTTCGAATGAAGGTTTTGGAGGGGGTGGAGTGGTATTGGAGGGTTGAACCTGATGTGAGTTTTTGTTTTTTTGCGGATATATCACGATTTTTGTATTTATTTTGGAACATTCGAAGGGAGAAAAGGAGATTGGACCTCTTAGAAAACGAAACTTTGAGGAAAAGAAACAAAATTAACGAGATTAAAAGGTCCATTTCTTCTGCAACATCAACTATGACATCTTCCGCTTCATGCGCGATAACAAGCTCAAATACGGATTCAACATGAACATCCTCGATGACGCCCGCTCATTCCCATCTCTCTGGTCCAAAACCCGTGCCTTCGCAACCGCAAATCCGCATCTTCTTCATCCGGACGCGGATCTAGATTGGTTATTAGATAAAGGCGAATACAATAATTGTCAATTTTTCTCTAATTTCGAGATCGGTTCGCTAGATTTCTGGCGCGGAGAGCATCATAAAAAGTATTTTGAATACTTGGATAGGTCGGGGGGGTTCTATTACGAGAGGTGGGGTGATGCGCCGGTGCATACGCTTAGTGTGGGAATGTTTTTGGGGAAGGGGGAGAGTTGGTGGTTTGGGGATGTGGGATATCAGCACGGGATTAATAGGGTGTGTCCTGGGGGGAGGGAGGGAGATTGTGCTTGCGAGGAAACGGGGGTGGATGAGGGGTTTTATAAGTTGGTACCATTGGAGAGTCCGCAGAGAAAACCAAGGGATACATGTATTAGGGGATGGCTTGGGGGGGAGTGGGTGAGGAAAAGGGAGGGGTGGGAGAGGGAATTGGAGGTGGCGCTAGGGGGTGATGGATTTGGGGGGTATGTTTTGGGGGGAAAGGGTGGGAGATGAGGTGAGGGGGAGGGGGTAAATCGTGAAGTGCGGGGGGGGGAGCATGTTTTGGGAATGATAGTATAGGTGAGAAAATAATGAGGAGAATGTAATGGTCACTTCCATTTGCTTTTATACGTTTCTGTAGTATGGGAATGACTAAAATTTTGATCATCTGAATCACAATCCAAGTTTCTATATGTGTTCTTCTAAGGTAAAATGAATCAAACCTTTCGAAGTCTTGATTATTCTTCAAATTCGAATAATTTTGATCACAGGAAATGCTTTCAATTTTGAGCATTATAAGATAGTATATGTTGGGTTCACTTAGGGGGGGGGGGGGAGGTCGATTCCGAATCACCGTATACAGCACTATAAAAAGCCTATATAAAATGAATAATATGAATTGAGATGATTTAGAATCAGATATGATTCTTCTCACTATATATATAGTAGGAATAATCATGTGATTCGCTTAAGCACGTGATCGTACGTTCCGACATAAATATTGAATAGTATATTTTAATTTTTTTAAATCTTTAATATTTATAATAGTATTTATTATTTAAATTTTTATAAAAATGAGTTTAATAATATTATGTAATAATTTCTAATTAAATTAACGTGGTTTATCAATGAGCGGGTTATATTAGTGAATGAGTCACTTCGAAAACCATTTAAATCAAGCTTTTTAAAATATCAATATTTTAACAATCAATTATTATTTTCTTGAATAAAAGATTTTAAAAAATAATTAAAATATAGATTTTCTATTAATCTAATTTTTATAAAATAATTTAATTATTTTCTAAAAAAGAAAGGAAATTGTTACGATTTTCGTTACAAAAAAACTATTTTTATAATAATAATTTTATAAATTCGAATTTCTTAAAATTAATTAGATTTTTAAAATTCTTTTATATTCAAATATTTTATATCAAATTTTCAGAAAATTATATTTATTGTGAGCGGAACCTTGTGCTGGTCATATGATCTATTCCTATAGCTAGTATTTATAATTCTTTTTTCTATAGTTTATAAATGATAGTCAATTTCTATTCAATTTCTAGTATATTTTGTAAAGTGTTATATAAAGTCTCCCTTTCCTTTTCTTTATCTGAGGTACTATGTTATAGTAACTTTTCTGTGGTATATGCGAAGGACTACTCTACGACCTTACTATCTTCTACTCGTTTACATTATAAATAAAAAAAGTATATGATTATATACAAACGAATTTTGTATATAAAATAAGTAATCTATTTACTGATATAATCTGCTCACTAATAAACCATGTTATATAATAATAAAAACCCTATTTTTTAAATATACTATTCAGTAGTAATATATTAAAAATGATTTTCTAATTAAAAAATACTTAATTAATATAAAAGAGTTTTATAATATCAGAATCCATTTGCTTTATTATTTATTTTTATATAAAATTTATTAAGAATATTAATTTATTATTAAATTATTTTTGTTGGAATAAAAAAAGAATATTGTTACTAGTATACTGCTTAATATTATATATATATAATTTCCAATACGCTTGCTTAAGTAATATACCCTATAGCTTTATAAAAATAGCTTTAATATATCTTCTATACAAAGCTTATTAATATCAATTTTGATTATATATAGTTATATAGATTATTTCATTTTTTTTATTTAATTATAAGTTATAAGGTATGAGTTTTTGTATTTTATAATTTCAAATCATATATTTTACTATCATACCACTTGGGCTTATAATCTATTGGAATAGAAAAAGAATATTATTATTAGTATACTGCTTAGTATTATATATATATATGATTCCCAACAATCTTATAGTTAAAGAGTTTATTAAAATATAATTAATAGATTTCGTATATTATTATCACGATACAAGAGATAGGTGCTAGATAAGATATATAATTGGAGGTTTACCTCCTTAATATTCTTACTGCTTATAAGAATCGAAGTGTATATTATATTATAGATATACCAAAAAAAAACTTTTACTTAATGAGATTCGATTTAAACAATCTAATTGATTTAACTTTCTTAATATTATAATTCATGTTACGATGCGAGTATCTTCGTAACACTCTATTACGTGATTGGAATCAATAGAAGTTATAAGCTTTACCACTATACTATGTACGCAATCTATTCAAAAGGTATAGTATCAGAGATTGGTTTTTGATAGCTTATTATTATATATATATATATTTATAACAAAACCCTCCCTTTTAATCTTTTTAGAACAAAAAGATTAATTAAGAAATTATTAATAATAACATAATTAACTATATGATTTATAATAATAGAAAGCATATCTATTATTAATATAATTTAGAATATTCAATCATTAAACAAATACATCCTTACCTCTAATTAATCTACTTTTCTCATTAGTTATTAACTCAATTCTAATCAAAATAGATTCAATTAAAGATTCCAGAATAATATCTATAAGATAAGATTCCTAATACTCTATTATATAATTGGAATTAATAAAAATTATAAGCTTGATTATTATACTATGTATATAATCTATTCAAAGGGCATAGTATTGGGGATTGGTTTCTGATAGCTTACTACTATATCTATACCTGTAACATCCTCGGTCATATATGTTAACGTTTAAGTGTATTTCTAATCTTCATCATTTTTGAGGTGTAGTTGCTTGGATTAGAAAGATTGTAGATATTTGTTAATTTAAAATTGATGGATGGAGTGGTGGTAATTGTCTAGTGCAGAAGTGGACTCTGATAGTTGTATTTTTTTTACATGTGTGATTGATTCGTCCATAAGATCTCGAGAGTAATACTCGTATTAAGTACCTAGGTCTTTAATGGTGATATGAAGTGATTAGAAATGGTTGTGAAAGAGATGCTGTTGAAGAATGACGTTTCATGTTTCACGCTTCATGTTCTACTGCATTGATAATTGTTCCACTGCGTCAACGCTACCAAATTGTCCGGGACTCTGAGAAGTAGGGAAGTATCTGCAGATGATTTTGACGAGGAGAATTCTATAGAGCTTAGATTCTAGGAAATTCCTAAGATTCTTTTCTAAAGTTGAACTTTGAAATTCTCAAACAAGACGCAGTTGAAGAATTATGGGCATGGTGGTTCTCTGTCGGCGCAAATGAAGCTGACCTACGGCACAGTATGGTTTCTGACATCTCCTCATACTTCGTATGTTTTGAACTTATCTTGGTCACATATTTATTTTTTCTATCAGACTTTATTGTTATCACTGGTCAGTGGTTACGGCTGTCATTTTTAGTTGTATGTTTCCTTGTCAATTAAAGGTTAAGGGTCGATATATGATCTATCAAAATAGATCAACGAGATCAACGGTTTACTTAGTTATTTATGCTTTAGGATGATTTGTGTGAAATAAACGATACAGGAACTGTACTGAAGAGTTTCGGCAGCTTAGCACAAGAATTCCCCGAATCCTCAGATGCAAAATCTTCTAATAATCCTTTTGATTTTCAATTGATTTAGACATTCTAGCATAGAATCAAAGGTAAAGGCTTAAAACATGATATTTGGTAGATTAATATGACTGAAAATAATAGAATTTTATAGTAAACACTTGTAACAGCACTTTTTTGTGTTGTATGAGCTAAACTTCTTTGTGATGGTGTAGTTGGTGTCAGAGTGGCTCGGATCTTTCGGGTCACATGACTCTCCTTAGCTAGCTCTACGTAAGCGAAAAAACAGGCGCACCAGGGGGTGCACAGACTCACGGGACAACGTGACAGGAAAGCACAATTTCACACTCAAATTTATCAATTTCAAAACTCAATCAAAATTCCAAATTCCATTTAATATCATTCAAATCAAGATATATAATTTATAAACATAAAATTCATATAAAATATAAATATTAAATCTTAAAAATAAATATTAAATTTAAAAATCAAATAATATGTTTTCCTATCAAATTTTTTGGTGGGATATTATATAATCGATTATATAAACTTGAGTTTTGTTTTTTTTTGAAATAAAACTTTCATTATATAAAATTGTTATATTTGAAAATAATAATTCTTAATTTCAAAGTCAAATATCAATTTTTTGAATTTTAATTGAATTATCAAAACAGCTCTTTTTGGTGTGAAATTGTGCTTTTCCTCTTAAGTGTCCCGTGAGTCTGTGCACCCACTGGTGGCGGAAATTGAGTAACTTTTCAAAGGACTTCTTTAATAGATTATAAATCTATTCCAAATGAAATATTGAAATTCGAAAAAAGAAAACGAAATTTCGAGTCTGCTCTATATTAATGTCAAGTGTTTTTATTATTTAATATTATATCAAAATAGGACTCTAATTGTTAAAGTTCTTTTCAATAATAGTCAATTTCCGTTAGTTTTTTTGCTTACGTAGAGGCTAGCTACTCAAAGAAGAAGAAGAAGAAGAAGCATTCGATAACGTAGTTTAACACCGAATAATCTATATCATCGAATGGCTCATTTCAAAATACATATAAAGTTTGTCTATATGTAATCATACACTTTCTTCATTTATTAATAGAATTTTTTAAAAATTGAAATTAGAATATTTAATTAACGTGGTTTATTAGTGAGTAGATCATATCAGTAAACAGATCATTTCGAAAATCACCTAAATCAAACTTTTTAAAATATTAATATTTTAATAATTAATTATTATTTTCTTAAATAAAAGATTCTAAAAAATAATTAAAATCTAGGTTTTTTATTAATCTAATTTTTATAAAATAATTTTATTATATTTTAAAAAGAAAAGGAAATTGTTCTGATTTTTGTTATAAAAAATCTATTTTTATAATAATAGTTTTATAAATTCAAACTTCTTAAAACTAATAAGATTTTTAATATTTTTATATATTGAAATATTTTATATCAAATTTTCAGAAAATTATATCTATAAATAAAGAAAGTATATAATTATACACAAACGAATTTTGTATATAAAATAAGTAACCCATTCACTAATATAACCCACTCACTAATAAACCACGTTATATAAATATTATAAAAATCTAATTTTTTTTTGAAAAATCCAAATTGATATATAAGTTATTATTAAAATAACATTTTTGTAACGAGAATTATAACAATATTGATTTTTTTTAAAAATATAATGAAAATATTTATATAAAAATTAGATTTTTAAAAAACTAATCTTTTATCATTATTTAATATCTTTTTCATTTACAAAAATAATATTTGATTATTAAAATATAAATATTAGAGAAAGCTTAATATTAATATATTTTGAAGTGGGTCACTCGATGATATAAGCCACTCGGTGTTAAACTATATTACTTCTTCTTCTTCTTCATACTTATATTAATTAGAGCTTTACCCTGGTTTATTATATACTCTTATATCTAGTTGTAAAAACGTATCCTTGATTTATGGAATTATATTAGGATTAAACCTCTTTCTTGTTTTCTTTAGATCGAGTTGATAAATTTACAAAATTTATTAATGATAGATTCATTTATTTATGGTGGCGGTTGAATTGCCAAGTTAGCGTCGGCTAAATCGCAGGGTTTCAATCTAGTTGCGGAACCGGTTGTATGTTTATATGTGCATCAAGTCTCCAAGTTATAGGAAATAAGACCTACTGTTACTATACATCGGCACTCACTAAACAATTAATCAACAGTTTATGTCCCCTCTCCACTCGCTCCCCTCGGCTACTTGGAGACGCTATACAGCCAGACGGAGAGCGCGGCGCCGGCTCCTCCAAGAAGGTAAGGCAGTATGTTGCGCCCGACCTGGAACACAATCCTCCCGAACTCACTCATCTTTCGGCGCTGCATCTCGCCACTGTCATTGACACGGGGGAATGGCGCATTTGGGATGGGCTTGTCGAGGAAGCGGCACAGTGGCTCCCAGCCCTGGCTTAAACTATACTCGAGCCTCCGCTCCGCGGGCACCATCTGGCGGATGCGGCTGTAGTATGCGTCGTAGAAGGCTCTCGCCTTCTCAGTGGTGATGTCGCGGTACGACTGCGTGCCAAAGGCGCCGTTGACCATCTTTGAGACGGCGTCGAACACGCGCGTCCCGGCTGCCCGATAGAGGGCGTGGACCAACGCCAAGGCGAGTGGGTTGCCCGGGATGTCCTTTGATAGGACGGCGCTCGCGAAGCTGGTCCACCAGGCGTCAAAATCCCGCTGCACTACCACCACCTTGGCCTCGGGATACGCGCGGATCATCTCCTCGGCGAAGAGCGAGGCCAGGTCGGTGACGACGTCATAGTTGGGGAACAGCCGGTCCCAGTCGGCGCTGGTGAAGGGTGGGGGCACGGGCTTCCGCGCGCCGGGCACGCTCGGCCACGTGGCCTCGGCCGCGAGCTCTAGCCCCGCATAGTCATCCCACGAGTCCATCTCGAAGCCGTGATGCGCGCGCAGGCCGAGCATCTCGTAGGCGCGCTTCATTGACAGTGTACCGGTGCGCATGAGGCCCGCATGGATCACAGACAGCGGCCCATGTCGCTGTTCGGCCATTTTGCGCTTTTATGCTTTGTGTCTTGTAGTATGCTGGAACTAGTAGAATTTCTACTCTCGGCGGACGGTGCTTAGGTAGGGCGGCAGTATTCGGCAACATGAAGAGAAAGTTCTTATACTTATATTAGCAATCTTCCTGGCATACTGCTGATTATATTATTTAGACCAGGTAGGCACCTATACGGGTGGAGGGTAGGAAGCATGTCAGCTGGTAATCTACTAAATACGGAATATTCCCCGGGTGGATATCGCTTTTAGCTAATTAAATGCCTTATTCTTATAACTTGCCCCATAGTAAGCAGCATAACAGTGGGTACCTGCTTAGCTACAATCCTCCAGGACCCCATTATAGCCCCTGTATGGGCCTATGCACAGCCGTAACACTCAGCTTTAGTCAGCCTTCTTTGCTTGGCATAGAAGATCCCTAGGTTATTGAATGTAGAGAGCGTCGACATATGCTCCGGACCCGAGGCCTTCTCTTTACTTTGCAGCGGTGCCAAAAAGCTACCATGGCAGTGGCGGTACCGTACAGATTATAATACTGGGCCGGAGTTTGTACCATTATCGGTATGATACCATTGTCAATACAGTACCGTGAAAATTCAGGCACACGGAGATCTACGGCCGTGCATCGGCCGTAAATCTCCGACTCGGGGGTAGTCACTGGACCTAGCGCTAGTAATTACGGGGGCGCTAGCACCCCCACCGGATATATAAGGAATCCTTCGGATCTTACTCTTTCATCAAATTAACCAATACAATGCTATCTTCCTATACTACTGCAATTTACAGGCTTTCGGGGTTGCTAACCAGAAGCTGCAAAACATGTCAATTTGGCCTCTGTTTTGATTTAACTTCCATTTGAATAAGTACAATCTTAATCTGGCTTCTTCTTACTTTGACTTCCTCAATTTGACTTCTCTTGATTTGGCTCGAAGACGCCTCTCCAAAAGGACGTGCTGAGCCAGTGACCCCCTGGCTGGTCGCGCATATTTCATATGCGGCTTCTCAGGAGGTCTTACCTGTCTGGCCCTGGTGGCTCACTGTGAATTTACAACCCCGGCCCATATGAGAATTCAATGTCAGCCAGAACTTCCGCCTTCCTGTGTCCCCCCTCCCTTCTGCCATCTACCCAGAAAAGTGAAATCGCCCTCAGCTGCCACTGCGATACTTATTCGACTCTGTCGTACCGCCATTTTAAGTCTGCACTTATCCACCGGTTTTCATCTGACTCCAATTGACACGAACCGTACTTGAATCTGAATCGTTTGTACTACAAATTACTGAGTGGGCGGAGGTAGCGATTCGGCCAGCGAAGGTCAATCTGGCGGACCTCTCGGGTTGACCGTGCTCTGCCTGCAACCTCACATACCATGGCAACGCTTGCAAAGGAGGGCGACCAGAGCGACGGCAGCCACGGAAACAAGCCTATCAACAAGACGAAACGGTCAAGATGGGCAACGCGCAAGCTGACGGTCAAGAGCAGCCAGGCCAAGCGGCTGTCGCTCCTGAGCCGCACGAACAACAAAAGACACTCTAACGAGAACAAGAAGGCGTCCGGAGGCTCCGAGTTACTACAACAACCAAATCAAGACGATGGCGGCCCAGAAGAAGAAGATACCGAAAATTCCGGGCCCGGTCCCAGGACTCTATATTTCAACCTGCCGCTCCCTGACGACTTGAAGGACGGGGATGGTGAACCGGCGCAAAGATACGCGCGAAACAAGATACGCACAGCGAAATATACACCGCTGTCCTTTATACCCAAGAACCTGTACTTCCAATTCCACAACATAGCCAATATCTTCTTCTTGTTCATCACTGTACTTGCTGTAAGTTCGTTCTGACGTGAATGGGCCTACCCATAAACAACCAGAAGCTGACAGCCTTGGATTAGTTCTTCTCTATATTTGGCGTTAACAATCCCGGCCTCAACTCTGCTCCTTTGATATTCATCATTGCAATCACAGCAGTCAGAGATGCTATTGAGGATCGGCGGCGGACCATCTCGGACAAACAGCTCAACAACTCCCCAGTATATCGGCTGTGCGGCTGGGATAATGTCAATGTGAAGGAAGACAACGTATCGAGTTGGAGAAAGACGAAGAAAGCTACCTCAAGATTTCTAGACATCATTTGGCATTCCATCGAGAGCTTATGGAAGAGAAAAAACCAGGCGATGAGGGCTAGCGGCATCGGGCATGATGGTCACCGCGCGTCAATCGAGACGACAAGGACCCGTCCGGAATCTATCATATCCCCCTACACGGAGAGACCTTCGTTTGTTTCAACCCGTGAAGATATCCAGATGACGCCAGTTCCGTCTCCAGAAGCTCGGCCGGACCCGCTTCAGCCGCAGCCTCAGTTCCAGGAACCCCGGGAGCAGCCAACCTCGGCCTTGTCCTTCCAGCCCAGCGAGGTCAACATACGAACAGCCAAGAAAGACTTGATCAACTATGACATTCAAGCCTCAGGCAAAGCACGCTTCCATCGGAGTACGTGGAAAGAACTGCAAGTCGGTGACTTTGTGCGAATACATAATAATGACGAGTTCCCCGCCGATGTCATCATCCTGGCGAGCTCGGATCCTGAAGGCGTCTGCTACGTCGAGACCAAAAACCTGGATGGGGAGACCAACCTGAAGTACCGGCAGGCTCTTCGCTGCGGGCGATCTCTCAAGCATGCGAAGGATTGTGAAAAAGCACAGTTCCGGATCGAAAGTGAAGCCCCACAACCCAACCTCTACAAGTATAATGCCGCCATCAAGTGGATTCAGAAGATTGCAGGTCAATCGCATGAGATGTCAGAACCTGTCACGATCGATAACGTCCTCTTACGAGGCTGCAATCTGAGAAATACGGAATGGACCCTCGGCATCGTCATATTCACTGGTCACGACACGAAGACCATGATGAACGCAGGGGTAACCCCTAGTAAGCGGGCTCGCATCTCCAGGGAGCTAAACTTCAACATCATCTGTAACTTTGGCGTCTTGTTCATCATGTGCCTTATTGCCGGCATCGCTAACGGCGTCGCCTGGGGACAGAATGATGCATCACAGCATTATTTTGACTTCGGGTCTATTGGAGGATCACCAGGCATGAGTGGGTTTACCACGTTCTGGGCGTCCATTATCCTCTTCCAGAACTTGGTTCCATTATCGCTCTATATTTCTGTCGAGATCGTGCGAACTCTTCAGGCCGTTTTCATCTACAGCGATAGAGAGATGTGGTATGATCCGATCGAGCAGCCGTGCATACCGAAGTCATGGAATTTATCCGACGACTTGGGTCAAATCGAGTACATCTTTTCCGATAAGACAGGGACTCTGACCCAGAATGTCATGGAGTTCAAGAAAGCAACTATAAACGGGCGGCCCTATGGCGAGGCGTACACCGAGGCCCAGGCTGGAATGCAGAAGCGACTTGGAATCGACATGGAAAAGGAAGGTGAATTGGCAAGAGCTGAGATCGCCGAGGCTAAAGTAAAGGTGCTCAAGGATCTTCGGGAGCTTTACGCCAACCCTTATTTACATGATGAAGACCTAACCTTTATTGCCCCGGACTTCGTGGAGGACCTCTCTGGAAAGTACGGGCCTGAACAGCAGCATGCTACCGAACGATTCATGCTGGCACTTGCGCTCTGCCACACAGTCATCGCTGAGGAGGTTCCAGGAGACGTGATGACGTTCAAGGCACAGTCACCGGACGAGGCGGCACTCGTCGCAACAGCTCGTGACATGGGCTTTACGGTTCTCGGAAACACCAGTGAGGGCATAAATCTGAACGTCATGGGCGAAGAGAAGCACTACCCCATCTTGAACGTAGTCGAGTTCAATTCGTCCCGTAAGCGTATGAGTGCTATTGTCAGGATGCCAGACGGTAAGATTGTAATCTTCTGCAAGGGCGCAGACAGCGTCATCTACTCACGGCTGAGGCGGGGAGAGCAAGCAGAGCTGCGTAAGAGAACTGCTGAGCATCTCGAAATGTTTGCTAGAGAAGGTCTCCGGACGCTCTGTATTGCAGAGCGGGTATTGGACGAAGAAGAGTACCACGGCTGGCGTAAGATACACGATGCTGCCGCCACAGCACTTGAAGAGCGCGAGGAGAAAATGGAGCAGGCAGCCGACTTGATAGAACAAGAAATGACACTATTGGGTGGAACAGCCATTGAAGACCGACTACAAGACGGAGTTCCGGATACCATCGCACTATTAGGTGACGCAGGCATCAAACTTTGGGTGTTGACCGGCGACAAAGTGGAGACGGCAATCAACATTGGATTTTCGTGTAACCTCCTGAACAACGACATGGAGCTTATTCGTCTTCGTGTCGAAGAGGATGAAAACGGTAACACTCCGGACGAAGAATTCATTGGCCTGATACGGGCTGAGCTTGACAAGCATCTAGCGGTGTTCAACCTCACAGGGAGTGACCAAGACCTAGCGGAAGCCCGACATAATCATGAGCCACCAGGTCCAACGCATGGCTTGGTAATCGACGGTTTCACCCTTAGGTGGGCACTTCGTGACGAGCTGAAGCAGAAATTTCTCCTCCTCTGCAAGCAGTGCAAGTCGGTTCTGTGCTGCCGCGTCAGTCCGGCCCAGAAAGCCGCTGTTTGCGCCATGGTGAAGACAGGTTTTGACGTCATGACTCTATCGGTGGGAGATGGTGCAAACGACGTTGCAATGATTCAGGAGGCAGATGTGGGTGTCGGTATCGCGGGAGTTGAGGGTCGCCAGGCCGTCATGTCGTCCGACTACGCTATTGGCCAGTTCCGATTCCTCCAGAGGCTGATACTGGTTCACGGTAGATGGTCTTATCGAAGACTGGCCGAAGCTATCAGTAATTTCTTTTATAAAAATATTATTTGGGTGTTTACACTCTTTTGGTTTCAGGTCTACTGTAACTTTGACATCACTTATGTTTTCGACTACAGCTATATTATTCTCATTAATCTGCTCTTCACCTCAGTCCCGGTCGTCCTTATGGGCGTTTTTG